ATATCATTCAAGATATAGCTTCTGAGCTATTTTAATGAAAACATTTTTAATCTGATAGGATAACAATAATACACTTGCTTCTTCAACTTAATAATTCTTATATGAATTTGCTGGTTAGGATCACATTCACAAAATATAGGTTATATTTTTTGCTTACCAAAGAGCTTAAATCACACATTTTGTTCAAGAGTATTCACTAGATTGCTGTTTGATAAAAAAGATAGGTAGACTTAGATATAAATGTAATATATGCCATACCAAGGATATTGTAGGATATCTTAGTTGAACTGTGAAATTACTGTCTGACAAATTATCTAACTTTCTGTTTTAGTAATGCACTATAATTTACTGAAATTACTCAAGCTGCGAACATAATTATTTTAAATATTTAGATACCGGTTTTTGCCTTAAGTTAAGTACACCTTTCCATAATTAATTAAAATTACAGTCGTTTTTTTGATTTAAAGAATTAAGTATTATTTTTTTTATAATGCTTGGGCAGTCGATAAGTTTTTCTAATGTTAGCATAGCTAAACTTCAGCATAATACACGTAAATTTGTTACATATATAAATCGTTTGAGCTTGTTTTCACAACTTGGTTATATTGGTAGGAAGATCTGGAGGAACGCACCTAATCCAGGCTCCATATTATGTATAATAATTTAAGATTTGGAAAGTGGACGTGGTATATTCCCAGATCTTTCACAGGCATCGTAGTTAGCATCGTGAGTGAGTTTTGCCAGTCTTAGCAACACACTGCAACTTGCCAAAAAGACAAGTTAAGCCCATCCTTTGACCAATTGTTTACTAAACAATTGTGGTATCTCTCTTTTTGCCCTGTGCTATTCACCAATCCTATAACCTCATGTCATTCCTCTGATAAGACCTATAGGAAGAGAATTGCAAGATAATATTGCAGACTCTGATCAATATTCCAAGCACAAGATTGAAGGGGAGTAAGATGAAGAGAATGCCAGTGTGGGGTGTAGAGAGTTCTAATGTAATCCGCTGAAACGGGCACACTAGATCACATTGAAATAAGCATTTAAGAACTTGTGATAGTGAAGGGGTGATACGAATATTTTGGATTGACGAATAGCCCAGAGCGGAAGGAGAGATACTACAATTGTTGAGCAGATAATTGCTTAAAGTATCGGCATCACTTGTTTCAATGACGAGTTCCATGTGTTGCTAAGACTGAAAAGGCACGCTGACGATGCCGACTACGATGCCGGCGAAACGTTTGGAAATGTACCACGTCCATGTTCCAACTCTGCAAAATATCATGCATACTATGGACTCCGGACTAGCTGTGTTCCTCTAGGTCTTCATACCAATATGACCAATTTGCGGAAGCAAGGTCAAACAATCTCTATACAACGAAATGAGGCTGTGGCCATACAAAAGGCCACAGCATCTTGGTCTTCATACCTTCGATTATTTTGCTAATAGTTTTAAAATAACTAGAATCCAAAGAAATAATTGCTTTTCTTCCTAAAGAAATTTACTCTTATTCAATGTCTAATATGAATCAAAATTGTTTAATGAATGATTGCGTTTAAAAGACGAACAACAGTCTTTTACTATGTAACAAAAGGGGGGGTATTTACTTATCTACAGAGATCATTAACATAAATTAATGACAACTTTTACCTAAGCAGATGTCCAGAACTAAATTTGTTAGACATTTATTGAAGATTCTTATATATAGCTGAGAATGAGTCCGATATAAAAGAAATGAAAATAATAGTCAATATTTTCTAGAAATGCGAATCTACTTGGTAATCGCTCAGTTATTTGTTCGATTACCCCTTTAAGAATTATATCGTAAAAAATGCAAGAGCATGACAAACTTGATTTAGCTTTATTTTGGTAGAAGGAATGATAATGGATGTAATCGTTCAACGTTCTGAACAAATGAGGTTTCTTATAGCGCAATATTTATCGATATAATAATGCAATTCAGGGTCTTAAACTTAGGCCACCTTTATGATTTTGACTACACTTGGCGCACATCTTTCGAGACACTAAGCGAAATTCAAACGCATAAATAATTAAATAGCATTACCAAGATCAAAAAAATGTATAATTCATATGCCTCTAGAATCAGAATAAATACTCTCTGACATTTATATAGTATTTAATTTTTAGAATTAAAAGATAGATTAATATTGCTTTGTAGTCAAGAGGGAAATCCTTCATTTCATATCCTTTTTGAATGCAAAACGATCTACTTTCTAGATCTTGAGACGAATGGTTAGAAAATGCAATACCTATGAGGTCTAGAAATTGTAGTATTTCAACATAAACAGTGCGTGTTAGGAAGTGGGCCTTTCTTCAAGCAACTTTTTTAATGCCTAAACAGTTGCCTATGCTTGTAAACAAATAAACTCTGTACAGGCTATAGAACTTACCAAAGTTTTGTACAGGTACGAGGGAATGGATTAGGCACAATGTTAGGAGGCTTTATTAAACTGTTACTTAGGCATGCTGGAGATAAACTAGACAGATTTACTCACATGTTTACTCATATTTAGGTTAACGCCAGGAGCTTTTCCGGCCCCAATTTACTGTAAAGCGTGCAAAGAAAATAGGGCCATTTATTATATTTTTTAATCTATAACAATAGAGTTTTCTTATTTTCACTCAACATATCGTTTAACTTAAGTATAGTGTTGAATTTATTTTTACTTGTTCTCGCAAATTGGTAGTATCTTCAGGAGAAGCTAGAGGAGATCACCTTTTCCGGAGTCCATAGTATGCGGACAAATTTCATTTGATGGAAGCTCGAAAATGTAAATAAGAGACTCCCTAACAGTGTGAATAATCTATCAGAATCTTTTTAAAGTATGCAAATAATTTGGCTAGCGGAAACGAGACTGTTCGTACGTTTTGAAACAGGGAGAAAAGACAGCCCGCGAATCAAGAAACATCGAAGAGCGAAGAAACATGGATAGAGAAAGATCGGAAATAGCAGAACACATTGCGCAAAGGGACAATAAATCGACTGGAAATCGACAGAAAGGCTGATTGCATATGTTGAAACTAGAAGATAACGTAGGATTCGAAAGGCCATCAGCTGAATGAAATCTAATGAACAGAAGAGTTAAAGAAGGCAGATTAACGAAAACCTTACTGATTGTATATGCAAGCTCGGAGAAGATCTGGCAATTGCAAGATCAGCAAAAAGAAGATGACACAATCAAGGAAATATTTTCAGCTTAAGGAAAAGAAATCGCACGGAAAAGGTGACAGAGGAACAATGATAAATCAATAGGAGAATTCTGCAATGAGCCTAATCAAAGCACATAGATCTAGGGCATTTTGACAGTTGGCGCGTAGGAGACAGCAACTTAGAAAAATCATAGATTTGGCGCTTTGGATAGAAGCCCGGGAGATGAAGTAGACAGAAGAGGTAGTTGGTTAATAGTAGACGAGTTTGATCACGCGAAGTGAATACTGGCCATGAGAATTATCCGGTGCACATGTCGAAAGTTGATAAGACGATCTATAGCCTCAAGTTATTCTCCCATTCAGCATAAGAATAGAGAATATTTGGGCCTGTCAATGACGTAGGAGTATATGTGCTATGAAAGACATTAGGCAGAGTGTGCGATATAGAGCCTCGATATTCGAGTGAAATACCTAAACCAGTGAGATTACAGACGGATCCTAAGGGACAAGAGGGAGACTTTGATAGGATCTAAAGGAGGAGGATTGCAGACTAATAGGGCAGCACAGGGTGAGATAAGAAAGCTAGGGGGAGTGTGAATAGATCTTACTATGTCTACTCAAAAGAGCACACCAGTACCAGGTCAATAGCCCTGGACAGAAGGAGAGATACCACAATTGTTTAGCAGACAATTGGT